AAAATTAATCTTGACTGTAGCAGAATGTCTATGTTGATATTAACTATTTATTTCAATTTGCCATTTGTTGGCTTCCTAGTTGTGTTTTTTGTCAGATCATACTGCTTAAATTGTTTCAGTTGTGCCAGAACTGCTCTCCTGCTTCCAAATTCAGGTGTTTTGGCTCTCAGTTTAATATCAAGATGAGCCTTTGCTGCATGCCCTATCCAGATACCCAGTTTGGATGAGCAGGAAACCAAGAGATAATGGGGGCAGCCCTGCAATACAATTTTACTTCAGGACTTGATGCCAGGTCTTCAGAACAGTTGGTTTTCATTAACACTGAATTGCTTTAAGCCAGCTAAGCTTTTAGCTCCTTCTCTTCTCTGCTGTTTTGGGGTTTTTTCTGTTTGTTTGGGGGGGGGTTTTTTCAGTTTTAATGCTGGAGTAGTCCTAATTTTGGTTTAGTCTTCTGTAGTGCTATCAGTTGCATAGATTTTTAGTTCTACTTAAATGTGGAGATGTTTGAGCAGCTACAATTTTATGGAGAGGTATACACACACAAAACAACTAACCATATTCTTTTATAATTTATTTATTAGTGTAATGTTAAATGCTTCCACAAGAGGCAAAAGATAAACATCATTTAACCCAGGCACAGAAAGAAAAAGCAGTTTTTACAGACATCCCTCACCCACCTTTATCAGACTCAGATTTTAACTGGGCAATAGAACAGAAAGGTTTAGCCATAAGTAAAGAACAATATGAGAAGATAAGGTAGCTCTGGGGTGAGGAAAAAAGTGTATCACCCACTAGTAGAGCAAATGCCTTAAGTTTGCTAAAGCAACATAGCAGAATGGAAGAGCATCGCTAGAAGTTGTTCAGATAGATATGTTGTAAACATCCAATAACCATAATTAACCATTTTAGGTGAAAGTATAAAATGCTCTTAGCTAGCAGATTTAAGGAAGTCTTGAATAATGTTTCAACCTTAACACTAATGAAATGATGAGAAAATAGGATGTTCTCCCATTCTGAAGGAACATCCACCCCAATGATTACATACAACGCTGTTCTTCTAGTTCCTTTTGTTTGAGTAAAACATAAGCTGTGGTGTAACCAGGTTTGATCTCAGTACTGTCAGGGGTGGGCGGGGGATCAGCAACTACCCTGTTCTGCATGTGAGTAAATGTATAGAAACAGCGATTCAGATGTCAGTAACACTTCCACACTGGATCTGCCCTTCATTACACACATATCCTAAGACTGCGAAGTTATTTTGAGCATACATTAGAACAAGAGTGCAACTTTAAAAAAAGAAAAGAAGCTGAAGTTTAAGAACTGAACTTGAGAGTCAATAACTCTTGCCATTTTAAAAGATGACTGAAAGAGATGTCATAGTGGAAGCTTGAAAGGATATTGGTTTGTTTCCCTAAATATAACACTATTAGCTCAATTTATCCTTAAAAGCAGTACACAGGGAAGCACAGAAAGCAGAACACAAGTGGTCATGGCTACTTGTGTGTTACTGTTATTATTGTCAAAATCCTGATTACTGTGCATTGACTGAATATTCAAATTCAATTTTGTTTCTTTAATAAGAGCTACAGAATATTAGAACCTGATGTAAGGAAAACTGAAAAGTTATTAAACTTAGACAATTTTGGTATAATATTAAGAAAACGAAATAAGAAACTGCAAAAGCAGCACTAATAGCAATCTTCAGGTGAAACAACCCAAGTAACGTAATATTTATCAGATGAAAATACCTACAATTTAAATTCTTCAAACCAAGCACGTTGCTTATTTAGCCTGGATGCAGATGCTTTTCTCAGTTAAAAATGTTATGTTGATAACAACTTACTAGTAAGTTGTACTATTTATACAGCTAAAAATGCTTGAACCACTGTTCTCAGACTTCATCCTAACAAGATTACACTCACCAATCCTGCTAATGCATTATATGAGCTGCTAAAGTTTCTAACTGTGAGGCCAACAGACATTGTTGGCTAAGAACTCTGGACAATTTTACTATCAAACAGTTGAGCAGCATAGCACAGTTTCATACAAGTTTTAGCTGCACAAGGAATACAAAATCTGGCACTAGCTGGACACTACAGACATTAGGCGAGGTCACTGACGAGCTAAGTCAAGTCTCCCACCACCTCTCTGCAACCATATTTTGGATGAATGTTTGCAGGCACTGCAGCTCGCTATGCACGATGCTGGCTAACTGTCATGGTGATGGGATGGCCAGAACTCTGCTCCTTTGCCTTGGTCTCCTTTGGAACAGCCTTACTTCCAGGCTGCTTCCTAAGGGTCTTTAGGTTTAATCTGTCTTATGGGGCTGCACAGCTACAGGAGGTGACAGGGAATTTCCCCTTCCCTTACTTTGGTGCCATTTCCCTGCAATCACCATTCAGGACAGCAGGTACATTGAAAAAGTGTCCTTGTAGGTATTGCTTTGAACTGCCATGATATGAGGAGAGAGTGTATGTATGCCTTCAGTACTTATGTACATTTATGCTATTAATGAGATGTTTGGTACTGGTGATGTCACCACCGCTACTGGCTGCATTTACAAGGGAAAGTAAGACCTGATCAGCTCTTGAAAGGAAGGCTGTAGGTGCCCAAGCCCCAGGAGAAGGGCCTGGCCTATGAAATAAAAGGGGCATAAGATGCCTTATGTAGTAAAACATGCAGGGTTCTAGGTGTAGTGAGGCTCAATTGGCTAGTATTCATTACTTGCTTTTTATGCATTAATTCTGGATTACTGTACTAAGATGCCTAACTTCCCTATCTTGTATGATACCCAGGTCTCTAACCATAGGCTCAAGACCCTAGCTTAGGGACCATAGGTCTTCAAATTAAGTGGACTTACAGGCATCAACATCCTCTGCTGCCCCTAGCCTTGAGTCTTTTTTGGTGTGAAACTACATGCAGCTTCTACAATACATAGATACTATCATGTTATTACCTTCAATTCTTTCTGAAGGAGTAGTACTGTGTCTTAAAAAGGATGATCAAATAGAAAAAAGATTGAAAGTGATAAATATTCCAGTAGCTGTATTTTACTAGCCACTCCCATCATAAAGAAAAAGTTTAACATAACATGATTTGAAATGACACATTTCAAGTGGGCTAGCTTCTGTATAAATCGACAGTTTGACTTCTCATTCAACTCTGAATAAATACAAACTACAAACTAACACAAATGCGTAAAAAGATATCAGAAGTAGGACCAGAACCCAAGTCTGGAGTTTCTACTACTGATTCATAAGAACACTTCCTTTGTTCAAGTAAAAAATTTTACTTTACATGCAACCAAAATTGTCTGCATAAATTCCCAAGTAATTTGAACTGGTATGTCCACCATATTCCCATTACAAAGCAATAAAAAAGTGTTCTCAACTTTCAAGGCATAGTTTTCATGATGTAATTAGACTCATTACAATGTACAATAGTGGTGATTTTGACACCGTGTTTTCTACTTACTAGATTAAAAAGCATTAATCTGCTGCTTCACAAACACCCTGCATGACAACAGAAGTAATTAATTACTCATTAAACAAGACTACTGGATTTTGTTTTTTCTTGTTTTCCAGTATAACTGCTGAAACATTAAGATAAAAACTGTGTCAGAACACCCTCCAGAATGAAAGGGTAGCCTCCAAATTATGCACCCCACACAAATTGCTAATGAATAAAAGGTTAAGTTTACAAATGCTACGTGCCATGACTGTTAGTGAGATGAGCAGGACAAAAATAGGTGCGGGCATACTGTCAGAATCTGCAGAATCCTAAAGTGCATATCACAGATGCACTATGAATATTCTCCGTTGTTTTCCAAGCCACAATACAGTGCACAGTTAAGACAGTATGAAACAAATATTACATGATTCTGAATTTTCATTTAATATTTACAGCAATCTTACAAAGCCTAATGTTTGTAGAAACTGAAATTTTTGCAGTGAGAGTAACGCAAGTAAAAGATAACAGCAAATGCTGTTTACCTTCCACAGATATTCTGTACTGTTCAGTTATGTCTTGGTAGCATCAACGACAGATGATTCAATGTTAATAGGAATGAAATGTTCTGGTTTCTTTGAGTTTGTAACTACTTTGACAGAGTAGAAATCTCTTCTGTTCTCATAGCATCAGACAGGAAACTGAGTTCATTGCACAGTGTCTCGTACCTGAAGGCCATCCGGATCTGTGCAACATTTGTCTTTCGAATGTCATTTCCCTCAGGCCCTTCTTTACAGTAATTCACCCCTAAGAATTTCTGTTTTTCCTGTGAACGGGGTTAAGTGTAAAAAGGAAGAAGTCAGTTCAACTGCTTTAATTTATTGTGTAATTGAGTATTTATTAGTTGAATGACTCCAGTGCAAGTGAAAAGAGCAGCTTCAACGAGCTGGCCATTGAACTTTACCTCAGCGTCTCAACCAGTTTTGGAGATTTTAAGACCAAAGTTTATATAATTACTCAGCAATGCATTCAGTCTAGCTTGCTAAAACCCTTTGTACTAGTGTTCAGTCTTCACTACTACATCTTTCACGTGAGAGGTCAAAAAGAGGCTTAGGGGTTTTTTGTTAGTTAAAACAAGTGTTGTGCAAGAGGAAAAGTAGTGGTTGTTGCTAGAGAATATTGTAAGAAACAACAGAATATACTTGTAAAGCCCCTTCACATACCAGCTCCTTGAGAGGAATATTTAAAACTGACATTGAAGAGAGGGTGCTCTAAAATAAGTCCCAGAGAAAGCCTTGGAATTGCAGAATTTTAAAGCCAAAAGAGGATTTAATCTAATCTGACTGTCTATCTAAACCAGACTATTTTATGTAGTACTCCCTTCTAAGCAAAAACATGTCTTGCTTATGACAGGCAGTTTATTTTTACTCAATGCAAAACATGATGTATAAAGTTACTGGCAAAGGGATATCATCCAAATAATTAAAAGGTTCGAGAGTGGAGGCAGAACTGAGTATAAGCAGGCACCTGGTTTCTCTTCATCTTTTGGGAATTCCAAAACAAAGCTAATGAGGAAAAGTATAACATTAATACTTTTTTTTAATGTAAGACTGCATAGCAGATAGTTTGTGAATATTTCTGGAAAAGAGGATAAGGATGTGCACAAATACATCCCATAAGCACCTACTATTCAATTTCCAGACTATTGACTTCTCAGTTCCTATTTGCCCCAATGTTCACAAAAGAGATTTTTTTCAGCCATAATTACCTTATCTGACAATCCACTCTGTAGTACGCTGTTTCTTGCTATTTCACACAAGTCACAGGTACTTAGTTTCCACACCTGGGCTGCAATAGCATATTCTTCCATGAGAGCTTCCTGTTATCACCAAAATATGTTATTTATTAAATCATATGTAAATAGGGAATTTATACGTGCTCTTTAGATAGCTGTGAAAAATTAGATGTTTAAGACTTCAACATCATAATTACTAACAAACAGAATTGTTTATTTCAAATTTCCCAAGGGCAACTGTTAAATAGTTAATAGGCACTGGGTATCCAGTTATCTTAGTCTAAGAAATTGCAGTCCAGATCCTTAGAGGCATTTATCAGACACTTCACAGTGGGATCCCAGGGTATATAAATGCCTTGGAGGATCTAGTCGTAAATTGTTAATGAGTATGTACATACACAGGTAGTAGGGCAACTTCTCACTTCTAACCTTCCACAGAAGGAGGTTGTGGGCTGACTCTAGTGGGCTGCCATAGCTGAGGATCTTCCACACTATGTGTAACTCGGCTGGTGCTGCGTTACATCCATGCAGAAAGCCCCCAAAGAAGCTCTCCGACTTTTCTAGCAGAACATGTCATAGGCCAGAAGCAAGCCTGGGTGAAGCACGCCAGAGCTAAGTTTGTCCTCAGGACACAGACAAATGAGCACTGTACAGGCCACTCTAAGGCACAGCATGACTCAAGTCAGTGCCAACCACAAAACTGGGGCATCAAAACCAGTGACCAGGCATTTCTGTCCTGCCAGGCCACCCAAGGACAAGAATCAGTTTCAGTTTTCACTGAGCAAACAGCTCATATGCCATCTTCGGAGATTCCACATCGGGTTTTTGTAATGTACTTCCCCAGATTTATTAGCAAGGAAACTGGACTTTCCTGGCACTCTAGAGGATTGTTTATGAAGGCTCAAACCTCCCTTCAGCCTCATCCTTCATTCTATACTTCAACAGCCAACACTGGAGAGGCAAGAGTACAAAAGAAACATAATTAGGAAATCAGACATTTCCCTCTGAAACCTAACAGTGAGCAGTAGACTGAGAATGAGGAAGAATAATGAATGAAGTGACTGAAAGACATGAAACTTTATATCCTGAGGAATGATGTAAAATAGCTTTCAGGTCATTCTGGGCCTGTGTGGTGGTGTTGCCAAATTCAAAGACAAGTGCTTTTTGCAGTTCTTACCTTTGTATAATGAAACTGCATAGGATCATCTGTGGAGAGAGAGACGTGAAGTCCCTTATGTAGAAATTCCCGTAGTGGATTTTTTGAGTACTCCAGGAACAGGCTGTTGTTACTAAGTGGAGACATAGCAATGGGGATTTGTGCGAGATAGTAAAGATACTGGAGGACAGGACTCTGCAAAACAAAATACAATCAGCATTTAATGGTAATGGGAGACAATAAAAATAGAAAGATTTCCCTTGGATAAAATAGAAACAGTGTTACAGAGGGAGGACTAAGACCAAAAAAATTTAGGTTGACACTAAATTCTGACTTCTTTAGAAGACACTTAAAAGTCTGAATTTTAAATGTTACTGGTCTTTATAAAAATAATTTACATTCTTCAACATATATGTAATCTTTTTTAAAATACGGTGACTAATATTACTGGAGATTAGTAAGTATATATGACAGTTTGGGGCACTGTATTTGATACTGACTGCATACTTTCCCCCAAAACCTGAAGGTCACAGATAACAGATGCATAAGAACTACTAAGCAATTTGTTACTTTCAAAACTGCAGTTCAAAAGGTAAATTTTAGGAGCAGAAGTTTTAATTTATTAGAAGTCATGTGTTGCTGTTGCACATAATATAAATAATCTGTGGTCACCTCATCTCTGTAGCTATTTTTAGCTTAACCAACCTGTGAAGCTAACAAGTGTCTTTATTACTGTTATTATTATCTGCCATGCTGAGTTATCATACCAGGCTAAGCAGGACAGAGTGAAGAGAATGCTTTGGTCACATTCAGCCTTAGTACTACTCTGTCTGGGTCTAATTTTAGGATTTACTGGTTCTGAGCATAACATCAGGCATGATTTTAGGCAGAAATTTTCTTTGTTCTTGGATATGTTGAAAAATACAGAGAGAATTTTCCAGCATTAATCAGAAAATCCAACTAGTAACGAGAACTCCTTCCAAAAAATTACAGTAAACTCGGTGCAAGTCTGCCACCCACTGACCGATTATTTTATTACAAAACGGTGGCCTGGGCATGAGTTACGTGATGGTTTTTATTTCCTGATATGCCAGGAATGGTAATCTTTGTCCTGTCATAACAATCAAGTTGTATATGCAGTACTGCTGTGTTATAAAGGTATGTTAAATTTCTTCATCAAGTGATCCCAGTTACTCTAGATATAAATAAGTAAAACCTTAATAAGCTTCTGAAGGATCCTTGAAGTACTGGGACACCAGTCGGGGAAAATGACCTTTGTCCCTGCACAGAAGAGACTAGAGCTTTCACTAAATTCTTCTGGGACCTAAACCAGGGAGTAGTAACAAGTCTAAGCAGTTTTTTTCTATGTAATTTTAGGTCTGCTTGGAATAACCAAAACCAGGTGCCACCAAGTCTTTGACACATCTGAGCAGCTGATCTTCCCGATAAAGACGTAACTTTAAAATGTTCACTTAGGAAAAGCTGTATTTTTGTAGCTTAAATAAGAAATAGGAAATTCAGCTGAGCATATTTATGATCAAAGTGAAAAGTTGTATGTGTCTTGCTAAGAAAATTAATTTGGGGCTGCCCAGATAAAGTCAGTTTGGTGACCACTGTTTGAACCAGTGACTGATGTCTAAGCAGATAGCAGTTAGGTTAGGAGAGCAACCAAGCAATACCTTCTTCAAGAGCAATCCATGAGAAATGTTGTCTGCTGTCAGAAAGGCTGATACAAGGTGTGTGATAGACCCAGCTTCTCCACAGTGAGGTCGAAACAGAAAAGTACACATGCCTCTTTAAAATCTTTCCCTGAGAAGATTAAAGCAAGTTCCCTTAACAAAAAATGCACGGTTCTTCATCTATTTTGTATATTATTATAATTAATAAGGGAATTTTAAACAAATAAAAGTTACACATTCTCATACAGTTTGACATGACATCTAATCAGGCCTACCTATGGGCTGCTGTCAAAAGGGGCAGGTCCCTCCACCCAAGCCCCTTCCACCATCTGACATACTTGTGTCTTCCTTCTTTCCTTTCCCAGTTACATCTCATTTAACAATTGTTTAGCTACTGGGTGAACAGTTACTGAACTGATATCAGTTGAGGGAACTGGCAGATAGAAAGCTAAGAGAACTGATGCAACCTGTGGCCACATAATTCCTAGATTCAAAATGAGGGAAGAAGTGGAAGCACATTGCCAAGGGGTAGCTACCACTACCTAGTGTGATGACAACCTGCCATGTGACCAGGTTAAGTGCAGCATAAAACCACACCCTCAGTAGCAGAGAGATGACCTAGGAGTGTTAAAGTTAGCACACTAGATTTCACACTATAATTTTTAGAACTATTTTATTTTTATCATCTGTATTAAAAATGATGCTGGGTTTTAGGTTATAGTGTAGCCTGTTATTCAGTGCAAACAAATGTCCCATAACTATTTGTAGATATTCAAAACAAAGAATTTCAACAAGGACTGCTGGAGTATAAGGCAGTTGTAGGATGGATGTTTAGTAACATTTCTCTTGAAAATGCATGTGAGGATGTAATCTGTCCTTGCTGACTTCACTACTACTACAAAAAGTATAAAACAGTCTTGCAATGGACTGGCTATGGTGCCTCAAATACTCAGTGTGATTAACAGGGTGAACAGTTTTACTGACTCATTGCTGAATTGTGTCATTATCTCACCTAGCTATAAAGAATATTTAATGATTATCTAGGGAGATTTTCAAATAGTTGAAAAGATCTTGAGGTAAAAAAGAAATGCGTAAGTTCTGACAGAATCTCTGTCTTTGGAAAAGAAAAAAACAGACTACAGAGAATGTAATGGAAGGAAAGACAAAGGAATGTCCTGGATACCTGCTGTACTGTTCCATTATAGAACTAAAACTAACAACTAGGCCTGTTTGTTGCAGCTACGAGGTAACTTAAGGTGGATGTTTTTATTCCAAGTTTTGATTATATAGGGCGGTAGAGAAAGAAATGCTTGAGGTAGCAGTGAAAGAGAAGAAATAACATTTTGAATGTTAACTTAGATAAGACCTGTTAAAGTGACAAATCTGTGTGCCTCCTATAAGAAAATCAGAAAATGTTTTATAAATAATAATGAAACACATCCTTGCAAGGTAAGTAATGACACTGTAATATCAATGGATGGCCTCACTGTGCCTCACTTTTAGTCAGTTGTGCAGATCAGTAAGTGAGTCAGCCACAAAGTCAGGAACATAACCTCAAGTTGAATTTCAGGCTTTACTGAGCCTGATGCCAAAATCTGCTTTTACAGTCATGATCACACATTCAGTATCATAACTCCCTGCATTACTTGCCTAGACATTGGTCTCAAAAGTAGTAAAACTGAATGAGTCAACAAGCATGCTGAAGTAAGTTAGCTAGATGTGCAGTTTACAATTATATCCTCGTCTGTCTTTGATAACAGCAGCAGCCCTTAGACCAGTATTTCACAACATAACTTTATATCTCTTAAATTACCAGGAAATAACAAGCTACCAAGAAGTGCATTACATTTGGAAATCCACTGTGAATCTAAGCAAAGGTCAACAAGTCAGTTTTGTGGGGTTTCTTCTTCTGTTTTGTTTGATATATTCAGGTTTAAGGAATTTGCAAAACAAAAATACACATAAATGTCAAACCAAGATATTAATCTGCTGCCGTTACAATTTCTGAATATTTAATTTGAATTCACTTTGCAGTTAATATTTTCAAAATAACTCATGTACTCCTCTTAAGACTCTTTAAAATAATTCAAGATAACCTTTGCTTCAAAAGATACATGATCTAGACACTGACTTAGACTGAGACCAAGATCGTTTATTTTTCTTTCTAAAAACTTGTAAGAGAGAAAAATGACTACTTACTTCCTAAGGTTGTTGAGCAACATGATGTTCACATACATATAATACAAATAATAGCTATACGGGGGATTCTTCTCACTGGTCCAGAGGTCAGGGTTAAGGCTCTTGTCAGAGAACATGTGGCCACTATGTTTGGATTCATCATCAACACTGTCAAAGCCAGTCACCTGGTGGGAGGAGATTCACAGAAATCACTGTTTTCAAGAAGCAAACTTCAACATTACTTACTCTTGCTCCAGGACTTGCTTGTACAAAGCATCTACTTCTCTTTCTTCTTTTCCTTCCTTATGGTAGCAGTCCTGCTGCTCTGCCCTTCTACCATACCATG